TTTCACAAAACAAAATTAAATGTAAAAAGAAAAACCTAACCTAAGTGACTGATGGGAAAATGGACAAAATATATGAACAGTGATCTAGCAAAATAAAATGATCATTCAATGTAGAAAAAGATGACTATCTCACTCATAGTGAGAGAAATGCAAATTTCAACTACACAAAGATACTCTGCTAACTGAAATAGCTCCTAAAAGCCACTATCTCACTATCATCAGGAAAAATCTAAAAGCACGAAAATACACTTGAAAAGACTATGGAGAAACAGGCATTCTCATACATTTGTTAGAAATGCAAGAAAACAAACTTGGCAATCTATGGCAAAATTACATTATTCTTCCACGCAGAAAGATAAAATGGCCAAAATAGTATAAGACTAATTTCCAATGGTATTCATTTTAGCAATATTTGTAATAGCATTGGAAAAATAAACTATATAAAAACGGTTGCTACAAAAGGATTGAGAGGACAAAGAAGAAAGATTGCTCTAAAAATACTTTGTTCCATAGTTTCAGCCTAAAATGTATTAACCCTCAAGCTCATAAAATCTAAGCTTCAGGGCCTCTTACTTGCGCTTGCCCCTTCCAAGCATTTAGGAAGGACTCTAGCAATGTGTTCTCATGGTAAAATACATTTGTAAATCTTTTAAAGTAAACTTTTGTCCCACTATGTTTCTTAACAAGTGACAAGAAAATTGTATAAGCTTTAGGCTCCACTAAACATTAATTCACTCTATGGTTTTCAACTTTGGAATTATGTAAATGTTTTATATGACCAAAATTAAAAATAAATTAAAAAAACCAAACCAACAAAATTTCAATTATTTTAATTTGATTAACTCCATAATCCTCATTTTGAAATACTAACAATTAGTAACCAAGTGAAAAGCAAACCATCATTTATGTTAAAATTGTCAGTATGAGAATATAACTATTTCCCCATCTTCCTAACCAGCATCTTTTATTTAATAGGCAACTAATGAAAAGGTTTAAGTCCCTTTACTAACTTCTGAATTTTATTTTTAAATAAATTGTACCTTCATGATTATTCTTAAGCATATACTTACAGAAGGGAAGAGGGATGTAATGGAGAAAGGATACTGAACTAGGCCTCAGAAACATGAGTTCCAGTCCAAGATCTACCCCTTACACATACGGATAATTTTGGTCAAGTCATTACACCTCTTAGATGCTTCATTTTCTCATTTGCAAACTGGGAAATATTAAAATGCAAGCAAAGTGTTATGATTAATGTGTCATTCTCATTAATATATCTGATGTTACTTTTTTCCCTAAAGAAACTTAATTTTTTTCCCTAAAGTAACAAATCCTCAAATACCATGTATGAGGGCCTGAAAAATAACTGAACTAGAAAAGAGTATCAACACTGAAGATTACAAAACGATGCCCCAATTGTGTCCATGCAAGAAAGGATAGTACTGATGGCTGCTTACCGTTGTTTCTTCTCCAATGAGATAGCTGGACTCTCTGCTGCTCTGGCTCTGCTAACAGCACCAGGGGAAGACATAATACTGTTAATAAGACTGCAAGTGGGGCAGAGGGAGCAGTTAAGTCTCAACAACAAAAACTCTAGGTTCTCTATGTAGAAATACTTCTGGAACTCAAGGAATCTATGAAACATCTGAAATTGTATGCAAACTGTGTATAGAGTATACACATATAAACTGTGTATATGTGTATACATTTGCGGGTGTCTGTGTCTGTGTGTGTCTGTGTGGAGAAGAGAAAGAGAGCTTAAGAGAGAATGAGATTTTGTGAGGTAGTTTTATCAAATCATAAGAAAAAAAAATCTGTGACCCAAGAAATGGTTAAGAACTACCACATTACAGAGAAATAACAAAGAGGTCTATTCTTTTCATGATGCTGAATCCTAAACAGGACCAACAGGAAGTGCAAAATTCATTGTCTATTCTATGCCTTTCAATGTTTGTTTGGAATTATTAAAGTGAATACCTTGGAAAATGCACCATCAGGATTCTTAAGAATTTGCACTTAAAACCCAAGGAAAAAGTATATATATATATATACTATAAACCACTTATATAATAAAGCCATAATGATACCTGCCCTGGTGTATGATGTATTTCCAACTTCTCATGTTACATGATAGCCTGCATACCACAAGACATGCTCCTGAGATTACATGCTCCTAAGATCACACCCAATCACTTCTTAGCAGTCTCTAGTGACAATTACAATAGAATACTATGGAGAAATTACTTGAAATTTATGTCCAGACTGGAATTCACTTACCTTGTTTTTGGAAAATCACAACTAGCATGTCCTTCTGTTCAGATGATGCTGAGCATATGAGCTTTGAAAATAGCAGATAAAAAGTGCTATGGACATATTTTAAAAATACTCAAAGAGTACCTTGGAAATATACCCAATATTACAAAAGTTCAGAAGCAGAATGTGCCACAGAAATAGCAGCAATTTTTCTGTTCTTAAAGAGGAAGAAAAATTGATAATTTTAAACACATTCCAATTTTCATACTACTGTATTCAATATAAATTATAAGATGAATGTCATCTACTGTATTAAAGTAATACTGAAACAGGTGCAAAGCATTGTGGGAAGACTGAGACTGTGTACATACATGGTCAAAATCCTATTATAATTATAATCCCCTTATATGAGATTCTATCTACTTGTGGACCTTGAATGAATTCCACTAGCTCATCTAAATGAAGCTAATGAGTAACTTGATCACTCAATTCT